TTTTCTCCAGCTCTTGGATAATATGTTTTTCTTTAGTGAATAGTGCAAAGCGTCACGAGGAATTTCGTTACTGGCTGGAGTGGTTTAAAAAGCTTGCTGCTGCTTTAAGAAGCCAGATTTACATATTTCATGTTTAAAAGATTTACAATATGTCTCACATGCCTGTATAGAAAGACGGAGCTTTCATTATAGGTTTAATGTCATCGTGCTACAAGGATTAATACTCTTTCCTCCGCCTCGGTCTGCGTGGCTGGTCGGGAGTGACTGGTATGTTCCTGGTTGACTAAGCTGTAGGGGCTGTTTTCGTATGAAAGGAGATGCATTTTTGAATAATTAAAGCCAGCTTTTACATCCACAGACAGCAATCCTAGAGGAAGATCAAAGACTGGAGCATCTTTCCAGACTTCTGGTGTACTTTCTATGGTGCACAAGGGGAAGAGGTTTTTTTATTGTTGACTGTAATTGTGAAGGGCAAGCACTTTATACCAAAAAGCTGAACCAGAGGAAGGCTCAGAGGGGCCAAATTCTGCCCTTGATAGGTGTGTTGTAGCCTAGGCACCATTGCCGTTGAAGGCTGTTCCATGCTCTAACAGACAGGGATATTTCCCCCTTAGGAAGTGTCTCCTCACCAGCGTGCAATGCAGAACATGAGCTGATGGAAGACGCAGCTCAAGTGCTACATGATAATTGGGCACTGGGGGACGTGCCGTGACATGTTGGGCAAATGTTTTCTGCGAGGTCCCGCTGTAGCACAGGTGGGAATTTCGAACGGTCCGTTGAACGCTGCTCACATGTTGGCTCTGTGCTGAGACACGGCTATTTCTCAGCTGGTTTCACAGAGCAGTGTGGCTGGGACAGGATCCGCTGCGGAGCCGTGGGAGCTGCATCCCTGGGGGCTGGAGGATGGAGGGGGTTGAACGAGGGGGCTGTCAGAACAAAAGGTGATTATTTCCTGGCCAAAACTGGCCTTTCCTGAAGGTGTAAACCCTTCTGGTTTCATTTAAAGAATAATTTCAAGGTCTGTGGAGTTCTTTGAATAAATTGACACAGCTTTTTTTACACTTTCCTTATGTGGAGCTGGAGGAACACGCTGTCAGCTACAAGACGGTGCAGGACAGGATCCCTTCCTGGTTGTGCATCATGGCATTTTCTTCTTTTTGCTTTGTGTTTTGCCCATCTTCCTTTTTTCTTCAGGTCTGTGATGAGACAAGGTGGGGGGGAAAAAGAGTATTCTAGGCTGTTTCAGAGATTTTAAAACTTCTTGTTTTAAGATGGCGTGGGATTACCAGCTGGTAACTTGTTTGAAGTTTCTCAGTCATCTAAGATTCGATTTTTGTTACCTTGCTGTTATGTTTGTTTCTTAAAAAAATAGTCTTTCACACTTCAATAAATGTTATCTGAATTTCAGCATTCTGATGATACCGAGGTCATAATTTATGTTAAATATGTAGATGGTATAGATAATGTATGTATGTGTGGGCAGTATACTCTCACATATATTTACATATACACAAACTCTGCGTTTAAATATAACTTGAATTGACTTATGTAAACAATTTAAAAAATTACTATGGAAAGAAAATATTCATCTTAAATATGTTTACATTGATGTTATAGTTGTCCTAGTTAAGAGGAAGCTGTGTTTTTCTGCAAATACATGCTTTTAGAGCTTTTGTTGTCCAAAACTCGATGTCTTTTACCCCCTCCTGAGGATGTTAAGTCCTTTCTTTCACCAAGTCAATGAAAAGTTCCATTACCATAAGCAGAATCAGAGCTCCGTGAGTATGCTTACTGCAGAATTAATAAGTATCTGGGAAAACAAACAGTTATGATGCAAGCAGTGAAATTGCCTTATACACCAGAAGATGAGATTTAGCACAGATAAAGTGTCTTTTCACTCCACATCCCAGCAGCTTTCAAACTCACCGTTTTGACTGGGTGATTTCATATCTGGGCTCACTGCAAGATGGAAAGGGTTTTCATTTCAATACTGAAGTCAATAATTATGGAGGTTATCATTTTCATGCTCAGAAATTCATGTCATTTTCATAAATCATTCATTTCATTTCATAAATCATGCTTTACAGCTGGAGAATGGAAACTTATTGCTGGACATTGATGAAAATCTTGTTTCAGTCACTCAGGTAAGGTTGTGACACTAAAAATGTTTTAAGGAAATAAAGATGAAATCACCTATAGGAATAGTGCAATTTGAAAATATTCGGCTTGGGATTAACTTCGCTGGAATGTAGCTAATATCAGATGTGAATAATTTAAAAAAGTGTAATGGGTGAAATCAGTTCTGTAGTGACGGTGAAATCACAAAAATAAAAGATAACTATTTGATGTCCAGAATCTCATATGCTGCAAGTGGATAAAACTACGTCTGGGTCAGAGAAGTTGCATTAATTTACACAGGCTGAGAACTGACTCGTAGAAACAAGCTAGATACAAAATCCAGATCTGAACCATTTGGGACTTTAAAATCCCACCTTCAAGTGTTGCTGTTTAAGACTGTCTCTAGTAAGTCAATGATGAAGTTGTGTTCTCACTAAATTTCTATTTCCATTCTCTGACGTAGTTCTATAGCTCCTGTTGCATATAAGATTGCTATTCTGTACGAAGTGATTCCCCAGTAAATATATTCCTTTTCCTTGGGGGATATTGTGAGTGAGGACTTATTACAACAAATAGTGAAGTCGGCTTTCCTATCACTCTCTCCAGCTGCCAGTTTAGAAATCCATCCACAAAGTTTTTCTGAAGAGCTTTAACAGAATTATATCTGCGAAGAGTTTCCAAAGATCCATCACCTTGAAGCACTCTGAGAAGTGTTGTTATTCCCATTTTACAGAGGTATTGAGGCATAGAAATCATAGTTGCCACCGTTCAAATACATACCATACGATCCTGAGTTCAAAAGTATAGTCGCTATCAGTTTTCAGTACTGATACGAAACGTATAATATTTTTTCCACAAAAAACGTATAACTTTTCAGACATTTCCTCTTAGTCGATGTAATCACATGTGTCCTGCTCTCTCACATCCCCTCTGGCTTGCTTTCCTGCTTCCTCCCCTGCGATGGAAGCACCAGAGGAGCCTTTGCTCGTGGTCTCCTGGAAAGGACACAAGCTGTTTCTTAGGAAGCCAGAGAGGAGAAAACAGTGAAAAGCTCACCAGTCGTGCAGGAAAGTGCAGGTTTAGGGGTGGTGCTGAACAAGCAATTTGGAGAGGTGGTGAGATTTGGTGTCACCTGGCTTCTCTTGAGTCAGTAGTGTCTACAGGAGGCTTGAAGTGGTTTCCAAACGAGTGCTGCTGTTTTCATCATTCCAACTTTTCTGAGCATTTTAACAATACTTGCCTAGTGTGTTTGCACACACTGCAAAAGTGACTTACGGCCTTTTTTTTTGGCTGAAGCTACTTCTAACAATTTTATTAATGTATGCTAGAATCGATGTGCCCTGGAGAAAACGTGGATTTCTTTTCTTTCTTCCTTCTTCTATTTCCATGCAGATACTTAGAGGAATATATAAGCCCATAAGAAGAAAATGTATTGTCATATCACTAAAGCAATGTGATCTATTTAGTGTAAGATATGATGTGAGGAAACGCAAAATAATTCATCTCTAGGTACATTGTTAGATGCAAAGCTGAGAATCATCCAATCTGCTAGACAAATTCCAGGTCTAAGTGATAGTGGCATTGCTTTTGTATATGGGAATAGAGATTGGATTGCAAAAATTTATAAACCTTTGAAATTATTATATTTTGAATGGTAATCTTATTTCTTAAAGGATATATTTATAACAGAATTTGGGGGGGGGAGGGGCAAGGGTGGAAATCTTAGGGTGATCCTTTGGTAGGTTGTAAAGACCAGCCAGCGTGGTTAATGTCCAAAACACTGAGCGTTGGCTACATTTGCAGGTCAAGACCAAACTGAATTTCAAACCTCTATATGTGAAGGAGGCTGCAAGGTTTATTTGTCTAAGCTGGGGAAGAGCTTCAATGAACTGAATTAAGATTTGCATTAAATCTCATTCATAATGAGAATTGTGGCTTCCCACGTGTGTGGGTGCGATGTAGTATAATGCACGGAAGAAGGACAGCCAGCAGGCAGAAGAGAGGTAGTGAAGAAGGAGCAGTTCTTGAGTTCCCTTCAAAGCTTTCCAGAATAGCCACCCTGATAAGGATGGTAGGTGGGTTGTAGGTTTCCTGCAGAGCTGTAAGGGATCCGCCTGGACTCCAGCAGAACTGATTTGTAGATGCAGATGGGTGGAAGAGAGTAATTTTACTCCAGAACATGTGAAGGAGCTTTGATTATGCAGCCACTCAAGGTGCTCCTTATTATGAAAGTGCCTTTTCTCTTCTGGTTCAGTTGACTGAGACCTGTATGGGTGACCTATTTTGAGATCAAACTGAAGGACGCCCTGAGAAAACATTTCTAGCATGAGTTAAATGTAGAGCTACAAACTTACAATAACCCAGTTGTGCATCTTCCTTCGAGTCCACTTATCCAGGTCATACCTGTCCCATGGGCAAGGGGAAATCAGGCAGCACTTTAAAAGCCCTTCCCTTCTGTATCCTTTTGTCACTTCCACAGTCTGCTGCCGAGTTTTAAGACCTTGAAATGGGAATTTAGAAAAGGAGCCAGGCCATAAATCATGCTTGGGTGCTCACTGATCTTAAGGGCAGAGCAGTAATGCATCCAGTCCCATTCTCGATAGTTTTTTCATGCTTTATTCATTTTTTTTGTGCTGGAGAATTCCCCACAGAATCATTTTATTGGGTCAGCTGCTGGCCGTTTGGGTCCATCAGCAATACCAAATTCCCACAGCTTGAACCCATGTGCTTCCTCCGTATGGGACTGGACTTTTGATGCCTACATGACTTTTTTTATTATTTATTTATATTGTTGTTACTAATTAACTTCACAAGTTATAACTAGTCAGCTCTCACTTTCTGGTCCTCAAAAGATAAATGGAAATCTCTTTTTCTCTTTACAGGCTGTTACCCAACTAGAGCTTTTTGGGGACATGTCCACTCCTCCTGATGTAACCTCTCCCCCAGTGAGTATCCAAGGAAACTGAACTGTGCATTTTCCTACATGCTATTTTCAGCACATTCATTGAGCACATTTACAATTCAAGTCATCAGCCATTCCAGTAGGGAGGATTTCAAAGTAGTTTTTATGTTGCAAGAAAATAAAAGTGAAGCAAACTGAATGTGGAGTCACTGCTTCGTGATGATGTGCAGAAATATCTTCAATTTTTATTTTTCTGATGTAAGGCTAGGTGTCACATAAGATATAACCTGAACTGCAGATCTTTTTCCCTGGTGTTCATCAGAGATACATGCTTCGCTGCACTCTGTGTCTCCGCTGCGCTGCAGGAAGATCCAGTTAGAGCCTTATATATCACATCTCCTTGGTTCCGCCAAACATATCCCAAAACGGCCGTTAAAGGAAGGAAGGCAGAAGGAACAGTAAAGAGAGGGCTGAGTATATTTGGAGGGCAAATAAAGTTTTCTCAACATGTTTTTCTACATCATCAAATGAAAAAAAAAATCATTTTCCTGTAAAGTTTTTGAACCTTACATTAAGATGTAAGGATGTATGAATATACTGAGAATAATTGGTTAATTGGAAGCAGTATGTATTCGCTTTCCCATAAATCCTGCAGCTGTGCTTTATTTGCCCTTACTGTTTCTTATGTTAATGCATTGTTGTCACCTAATGCCTAGAATCACAAGTCTATACGTTCTAGAGAAAGAAATTATGTCAATATCTTCAATATCTTGCATGTGATGTATTCCAGGAAAATTTTATTTTTATTTTTTCTTATGGTACAAAGTCTTTTATTTTCTTTTTTTTTTCTCCTGTCTCCAGCAAATTCTAATACTTTTGTTTCTATTACTTCTTTCCTTTTACATCTTTCCGTTCTTTTTTTCTTTTTCTTTCTTCCCTTCTAACCTGTATTTTTTGAGTTACAGATGATGCAACAGCGAAGTATGTGCTGCAGAAGCTGCAGCTGATATGTCATTGTTGTATTTTATTCCTGTTTTCTTGCAGACTCCTGCTACTCCAGGTGATGCCTTTATCCCATCTTCATCCCAGCCACTTCCTGCTAGTACAGACATGTTTGGTTCTGTACCTTTCAGCACTGCTGCCGTACCCTCAGGTAAGATATCTGGGGAAATATGAGCTTGACTCAAATTTGCTGATCAGTTTTGAGCTCTGGTTTGCATTTCAGTACTCAGGGCATTAATTTAGTACAGTGGAAGTGGGAAGGATTTTGAGGACAGTGCTGCAGGGCACGGCAAAACAAGTCTTTAACAAGCAGGGAGTACGTTATTTTGAACGTACTCAAATTTTTTAAAACAAAAGACAAAAAAGTCACTGGGAGTTCAACTGTAGTTCAACCATCTGGATAACATACCTTCTAGGAACAGTAGCAAGAGAGAAATAAGCATTTAGTTTAGCTTTGCTTTTTTTTGCGGTTGCAACGAATATCCTGTGCTGTCTCTGGTAAATAGAGAATGAGATACGGAGAATTTGAGTGCATTGCAAAGGTATTCCACTTAGTCAAATCCCGATACTTTATCTTTAGACTCTCCTGTGTTCCTCAAAGTGCTCAGAATTCAAAAGCCTGTGTAGCATTCCGCACGGACACACCAGGCATGTGGTTTTGACTGCTGAGCTCTCCCTGGGATACTCAGAGCCCTGCAAGAGCAGCGTTCTCCGCCCTACTTACAGAAAAAAAAAAAAGGAGGAGGAGTGCCTTGAATCATTCAAGAGTGACTTTCTAATTGGTCACCTCCTTCTCTGATGGGCTGCGTTGCAGCATCAGATGAGCCACTGCATCTTGGAAAGGTTACGCTGATGGTGAAGTGTTTGGGGATAATGTCAGATGAAAACCCTCCCTGCTTGGATAAGGTTACAGTGAGGGCAAGATAAAAGGACATAAGGAGAATCTGTCATAGCCATCTCTTGAAATAGGTATCTATCTGAATTACTGTTCTTTCATCACTCGTTAATTTGCTCTTTCAAATTTCTGCTTATATTTTATTTTTATTTTGGGCTTTTCCCTTTATGATTTTGCAGCCACCCTTACACTTAGCTTTACCAAACAGCCTAGAAATAAAGTGAAGGGGAAAGGTGCAGGAGGACTCGGAAAAACACTCAGCTTAGGAAAGGAGTTTTAAAGCTACGACAGTATTAAAAGAGAGGTTGCATATTGTAAAGTATTAGCAGTAAACCATTAATTTAAATGTGAATATCTGTAAAGCATAATACTTCTATCAGTGGAACATGATTGTATCACATGGTTTAATTTCTAACATTTTTTACCATAGCTTTAGTTTCAGAAATTTTATTTGTTTTTCATTGTAAATAACAAAGCACCTAATCATATAATTCCTACACAGTCAAATTCTTGGTAGCTTGAAAAAAGGGTTCAGTTCTGACTGGGAGCAATTATAATTTTAGTTTTAATCCGTTATTTCCTCCTCAACTAGAGAGGTTTTATGCTAACCTAGTACCTGAAGCAGTTTGTTGTTATTAGGTATGAAGCACAGCAGAAGCTCAGGACATTTCTGAGGTTCTCAAGTAACTGGGTAATAACCAAATGTGTTTGGTTTTCCTTTAAGCTGAATTCATCTGAGCTTTCTTTTTTTATTATGCAATTTGAGACACTTGCTTTGCTCTTGGGAGTCCCAACAGTTTGAACTGTAACTGTGCCAGGAGAGGTGGCACAGAGTCTTTCTCTTGCAAGAAGGTCGCCCTGTCATTCGAGGGCCCTTGAGCTGTTCTCTAATGTATCTGAAGGTGCTTCCCTGTGACTTTGAACCAGTTTTCTCACTGTGCCATTGGCAGGAGCTGGCTGGTGTTCGAGTCGCTCTCCCCAGCAAGGAATAACAGTGAAAGGGATGAGGAACTGCAGCAAAGCTATGCAGAAGACAGGGAGTCCTGGACGTCCTCTTCCTTCCCTCTGCTTGTTCTGCCTGCTCATTTTTTAGCTGCATATGGACTGCTCTAAAAAGATGAACACCATCCCAGCCTGACCCAGTGCATCATGTTCAGTCCCAGAGGCCCTTGCCTGAGAGGAACAGGGCAAGCAGAGGTGGAAGGCAGAGGATCGAGCAAGTCAGGGCAGCAAGAAGAGCCTGCAGAGCTCAGTGGTGAGGGGCAGGGTTGTGCTGCAAGGGAGTGAGTTTAGGAAATGTTTCGGGAGCTGCTCTGGTTCTGGTAAGTGGTTTGTCCAAACTGATCCTGGCTGTGCTTTGACAGAGTCCCAGGTAAAGTAGCTGCCAGCTGCCGACAAGGTCCATGTACACAGGTCTTCACAGACCCATGGAGGTACTCACTGAGGAAGAGAACTTTTTTTGTTGAGATGAGGGAAAGGATTATTGCTGATGTCCACCAATTTGTGGGTTTATATACAAGTATTTGTTCAGTGATGTGAATTCAACCATGTCTTTCAGTTTTCTTTTGAAGTGTGCCGAAGCTTTGGGATCGCTAATGTAGCCTGCATGTTTCTGATTCAAACTGTAGCTTTTGCTGTATGTTCTTGACAGGAGTGTAAAAAT